TTCCTCTCTCTGAAATAAAAAAAAATATATTAAAAAAAAAAAAAAAAAAAGGTCTGTTTTTTCCAAAGTGAACCTACTTCAGTCCTTTCAGTCCTTTGACTTCTCTCTGGGATTCTTCCAACCTTCATCGAGTTGATAGAGCTGTCTGGATCTTTCCCAGCTTCCTCACATCTCTATGAAGTCCACTGACCCAGACTGGATTCACATCTCAAATAAGGTTCTGACTAATGCATAGTATAACGGAAAGATTATTGGACATGCCATGCCCTATTAATAACTCCTGTTATCAAGGGGTTTTTTTCACAATGGGATTGAACAGAGTTCTGACTCACTCTAGGTTTGTGATAAATTGTGGATCACTTTCTGCTCAACGTAGCCTGAGTCCCTGTTACCATATTTCTCCTTCTCTATCTCTCTACCCTCATAATTACCATGTCTTCACCAATCATCCCTGAGCCATGAGTAGGCAGGCCTAAGTACTGTTCAGAATGAGTCACAGCACTCTTATGTGGTGCTGGGGAATGCACAACCCCTTGTACAAACAATTGGTAACAGTGCCAAGAGGCTGAAAAATCACTGAAACCTCATAGCTGTGATTGCATTCCTGGTAGCATCCCATGTACTTAGTATATGTGAGGATGTTCATTCCAGCATTATTTATTTTATTTTATTGATTGATTTTAGAAAGAGAGAGGAAGGAAGAGAAAGAAGGAGACAGAAACATCAATTTGTTGTTCCACTTATTTATGCATTCATGGGTTGATTCTTGTATGTGCCCTGACTGGGGATAGAACCCACAATCTTGGCCTATCCACACAATGCTCTAAGAAACTGAGCTACCCCCTCCGGCATTATTTATAATAGTAGAAAACCAAAAGTAACCTAAATGCCCAAGAAAAATATTATGGTATATCGGTTGGATGGAATAGTTTGAAGCCATATAGTTAATGGCTGTAAAAACTATGTGGCAGTGTGGGAAAATGCTAGGTTCTATGAAAAGATCAGGGGGGAAAATAGCATGAGCATTCCCCAGGGCTGCAGTCAGCAAAATGTAGAAAAAGGAAGACTTGGAAAAACACCCAATTCCCTCACCAAATAAGTTGGAAGAAAAAAGGAAAGGGAGAGATTTATAGATTAAAACAAATTAAGCAATATATTTGGATCCTGATTTAAGCAAACCAACTTTTTTTTTTTATTCTCACCCAAGAATATTTTTTCCATTGCTTTTCAGAGAGAGTGGAAGGGAGAGAGAGAGAGAGAGAGAGAGAGACATCGATGTGAGAGAGACACATCGATTGGTTGCCTCCCACACGTGCCCTGACCTTGGCCCCATCGTGCCCTTGGCCACAATCGAACCTGGGACCCTTCAGTCCGCTAATGGACTAACTACTAATGCTAGTAGTTAGCTGATGCTCTAACCACTAAGCAAAAGTGCCTAGGGCCAAACCAACATTTTTTTTAAAAACATTTTATTAAATTATCAGGGAGCCCGGCCGGGCGTGGCTCAGCGGTTGAGCGTCAACCTAGGATCCAGGCGATCAGGGTTCGAGTCCCGGTCAGGGCACATGCCTGGGTTGCGGGCTCAATCAATGACTCTCTCATCATTGATGTTTCTGTCTCTCTCTCTCCCTCTCCTTTCCTCTCTCTGAAATCAATAAAGATATATTTTTTTAAAAAATAAAAAATAAATTATCAGGGAAATGTGAACACTGACTAGTCAAATTGCTATTAAGGAATTATAATTTTTTATTTATTGTTGACAGTATTACAGGTGTCCCTCATTTCCCCCCATCTTTGCCCTTCCCCACCCAGCCCCTTCCCCACCCCGGGCTTTCACCACACTATTGTCTGTGTCCGTGGACATGATATGGTATTGTGGTAATTTTTTAAATAAAAAACTCTCCTTTTCTTCCGGAGATATATACTAAAAAAAATGTGGATGAAATGATATGATGACTGGATTTGCTTCAAAATAATCTGGGCTAGGGACGTGCAGGAATCAAAGAAGATGGGCCATGAGGTGATGATTATTAAAACTGGGTGATGGGGACATGAGATTGCTTACATCATTTTCCCCATGTTTTTATGTTTGAAATTGCCCATAATAACTTATTGTAAGCCTTCACATGCATTAGCAATTATGATTTTAAAAAGTAGTGCCCTGCCAGTGTGGTGCAATGGTTAGAGCGCCAGTCCACACACCAAAGAGTCTCGGGTTTGATTCCCAGTCAAGGACACATACCTGGGTTTCAGGTTTGCTCCCCATCCCCAGTTGGTGTACGTGCGGGAGGCAACCAATGTGTCTCTCTCACATTGATGTTTCTCTCCCTCTCTCTGTCTCTCTCTCTCTCTCCCCCCTTCTTCCCATCCACTCTCTCTGAAAAGCAATGGAAAAAATATCCTCATGTGAGGATTAAAAAAAAAAAAACTAGTGTGCTTGGTGAGATCCTGGCACCAGTGTGGCAGAGTTCAACTCCCAGCTCCTGTAGTTACCAGCTGTGTGCCCTTAGGCAAGTCGCTGAACCTCTCTGTGCTTCAGTTACCTCATTTCCAAACGGAGGTGGTAACAATCATGATACTGCCCACCTCACGTTGTTGTAAAGATGAAATGGGCCAACAAATGTGAAGCACCTAAAACAATTCCTGGCATATAGTAATTGCTTGTATGTATTGCCTTTTATTAACCCATTCCACATTTAAATGATATTGGAGCATCTACTTTACTGGGCTGTGGAAATTCAACAAAATAAAAACAGATCTTGTGTTAGGAAGGAGGGATTTTGGGGTGATCTTTCTCATTCTCTAGTTTCAAACTTTGTGTAATGTGAGATTATCAGCTTTAAATTTTTTATGAAATGTATTTGGGTTTTGAAAACAGAGTGAGCAGCCTTCACAGCCTCTCCTTGCCCTCTGCAAGTGCCTTAGTCGACTGAGATAGCTGCATTCCCCAGCCTTGGGTTGTTTCCATCTGGCGGGGTGGCAAGGCCTCTGCTTGCCATAGATACACCCGTGTGGGCAGAGATAGCAAACATGGGCGGGAGATAAACTGGGAACACATTCCAGGGTGATGGCAGTGGTGAGAAGTGAGGAGGTGGGGT